CTAGAGTCACTCGATTTTTATACTCTTTTTATCAGATTACTTACATTTTAATTATGCATTGATATATACAGAAAAATTAAACAAATTTGGAAAAAAGTTTTTTTTATAAAATTCCTACCTACAATACCTTTAAGGCTTGAACAGGACATTTTTGAATGGTTGGTTATTGTAATGTCACTTTGATCTATTTTTGTATGCACTGGCAGGGTAGAGTAGTGAGATACGAACGCTGTGTGTTTACTGATGTATTCGTTAGTTCATTGACAGATTGACGTTACAACTAATGGTCATGAAAAACTTTTTTTAAGCGATTTGCAAAGATTAATATAAAGGTTAAAGGGGTCATATAATGCCATTTTTGTACAAGCTAATATGATTCTTTAGGGTCTAAATTAAAAGTTTGTAATATACTTTAATTAAAAATTCTCATTAGTATTGTAAGAAAACAGTTATTTTACCTGGTCAAAAACAGGTGTTTTCAGCACGCCGTTTCAGTGCATATGACTTTAAATGATCATGAGCTTTGCTCACTCCACCCCTCTGTTCTGTGCGTACACGTTTGTAACACAATAACCATAACGCGTTGTTCATTATAAACGTGGGATTATGAATTATATTGAGAACGTCGTACATAGAAAACATGCCGTAATGTACCCTGAGTGTAAACCTTAGACTCATTCATCGTGAAGCGTGCAAGCGATTTGCAAAGATATAAATATTAATATAAAGGATAATAAAACGTTACACTCACTTCAGTTGTTCTAGAGGTTCAGCAGGAACACGAATAGCTGGTACCGATCCTTTATTCAGGAGCAGCTGCTTAGCAAAACCAGCTTTATACTGACCCTCGTTTATAAAGCAGTCTGGTGAGAAATGATTCGCGCAAACATGAAAGCATTGACGTTGCTCGTGGGGAATATTCCCTTCGAAAACAAACACAGCCACTGCGTCTTCAGCGGTTCGGATTTGGGAACATTAAAATGACTGCTGTGTTCGTTATTACACCCAAGAACAGAACACCAATCGCTTAGACGCCATTCTGCTCATAGACAGTGCTCCAGCATATCAACAATGACCGCGCCGGTCCGCGCAGACTATGATTGACAGCTGGCTCACGAGCGAGGGCGGTTCTGTGTTGAAACCCGGCTGTCAATCAACAATCGCGGGAGGGGCGTCCGACCGTGTGACGTCACACGGTCGAACGGCTCGATTTGAGGCAGGGGAAAACATATAAGGAGATTAAAACAAAAACACTGGATGGATTTTTATCATTATATGATGGTTGTGTACAGGCACTGCCAACACACATTTCAGTACAACCAACTTGAAAAAGTGCATGTACCATTATATGACCCCTTTAATAAAACTTTACACTTACTTCTTCTGGAGGTGCAGAGGGAACATAAATAGTTGCAACCGATTCTTTTTTCATGAGCAGCTTCTTAGCAAAACCAGCTCATACTGATCCTCGTTTATAAAGCAGTCTGCTGAGAAATGATTCGCGCAAACATAAAAGCATTGACGTTGATCGTGGGAAATATTCCCCTCGAAAAACAAAACTCAGCCACTGCGTCTTCAGCGGTTCGGATTTAGGAACATCAAAATGACTGTGTTCGTTATCGCACCCAAGAACAGAACACCACAATCGCTTAGAAGCCATTCTGCTCCAGCGTATCAACAATGATGGACTATGATGACAGCTCGCTCAGGGCGGGTCTGTTGAAACCCTGCTGTCAATCAACAATAGTGGGAGGGGCGTCCGACCGTGTGACGTCACACGGTCGAACGGCTCAATTTGAGGCAGGGGAAAACATATAAGGAGATTAAAACAAAAACACTGGATGGATTTTTATCATTTTATGATGGTTGTGTACAGGCACTGCCAACACACATTTCAGTACAATCAACTTGAAAAAGTGCATGTACCATTATATGACCCCTTTAAATGTTCGTGCTAGCGAGCGTGTTGGGCCGTTTAGTGAAGCTGACTGCTGTAGCATATCTAAAGGCAGATGAAGGAAAACTGTAAATCTTCATTATGAGTCCTAATCATAAATATAGTGCATGTTCACAATAACAGTTTAAAAAAATAAAAGAACGATTTAAACTATGTTTTACATCTAATATACACATTTAGATTAAATATGCCATTCTCATTAATGAAGTTAAAGCTGCTTTGTCACCATCAGCTGTTCGAAATCTGCAATTACAGTTATTCACAGAATTATCAACTTTACGTGGGTTGTGCCTCGGCACGGCACAGCGCGGATGAATCCAATGTTTTGAGGAGAATGTGCGGCTGTCAGTCACCGCGCCGGTGTGGATATGGTCATTCGGAATCACATATTATACTTTTTGGAAGTATGACCATCATAAGAATTTTCACCGGAAAATGTAATCTGAACAAGTAACATCCACTTTTGTTCTGAACTTCTGACCAACTAAGGGGAAAAAAGCATTGCAGTAAATCGCGCTGATTAAATCTAACGATCGATTATCATATCACGTCAAACTGTGCAAATTATAGGCTACTTTGTTCTCAAATTGTTAATGTTAACAACATTGACTACATGACTACATTTAATGCCCTTCAGATATTTATCCTTGTTTTCGCATGGCCCCGGTTGCAGTCTCTTTTTTTCTGTAGCCACTCCAAAGTCCAAACTAAGTCTTTTGCATTTTACAATGGGTAGGGCTGTCGCGATAACCGCAATATTGCAATACCGCGCTACTGACAGGCCAACCGCAGAGGAATGCAAGTAACCGCAGCAACCGCGAACCGCGTTTTCTTTTTTCATAAGGCCACCCTTCGTAGTTCGTACCATGTGTATTGAATGTTAAGTAAGTTAATAATGATAACAAGACTGTTTATCATGGTGATTTGTACAGAAGCTTCGTGGATTTGCCTAAAGTAACAGACAGTGAATGTGATCGACTGAGCGCGTGCGATTACCTGCGCCTATCTCTGAAATCACGTCATATATTCGTGAAAAGGTTGCCGTTTCCAAGGAAAGCGAAATATTTGTCGTATCATTCTTTTAACGTGTAAGGGTATTTACCATGAATGGCGGCAACGCTGGTCAGCATTACACAGCGCGAGGAAGCCGTGGGGGGAAAGCAGCGAGTCACGCATTGAATCAATGCCATTGGTTTATTTTGTGAAGCATTGCTTCAGCTTTGCCCAAAAGTGAAGCATTGCTGGCCAGCTGAGCCTTGAAAAGTGGAGCTCAAACTTAAAAAATAATTAACACCTTGTTTCATTACATCTATCATTTAAGGAATCAGCTTTTTGAACGTTTTCGTTGAATGAACGGTTTAATGACTCACTCAAAGACAGTCCGTTGGCGTACGTGTGCGCGCTGAGTGACAGCCTTTCAATGCGCAGAAACGCTGTTTAGTTTCGGTTAATACATTGTTTTTGTGTATGCTGACCACATCATAACACGTATTTATATAGCAACAAATAAATATAAATAAATATAAATAAATAAATGGCGGTAATACCGCATATCGCACTATTGAGCCACTCAAAATTACCGCAAGGGAAATTCCTTCACCGCCACAGCCCTAACAATGGGTGAATCTCCAGTTGTCACTGGTGATTGTCGTTTGAAACTTTCTGGATCAAATTGATAAGATTAATTATATCAAGTTCTGTGAGAAAAGGCTATAAATCTCTACCTCCAACATCCTCACATGCAACATAGCCTACTAGCCGGGACATCTTCTTTATGTGTAGGGGAGAGCCGGGACAATTGAAACACTTTTTAGATAAATGTCGGTTTCTATGATAAGGTTACAGAAAGATGTTTTTTGTTTTTTGATCAACAACTCACATATGTGTTCTCTTAGTATCATGTGTTATTCGGTACAAATAATGATTTAAGTAAAGATTTACTTTGAGTGGTAATTGTGCTTTGTTTCACTCGTCCCGGCTCTCCCCTACAGATGTGACGTAATGACGCAAAGACATGCTCGAATTTCCAGCAGAAATCCACCAGTACCACTGGAATTAAAAACATTATTACAAGCTTACTGTTTTGAATCGAGCTAAGGCAAGCAGATAGTTTTGAACACTGGCAGGTTATGTACTTGCTCAAAAATGTATTTTGAGTTAAGGAATGCAGCTTTAAGCACTTAAATTACATAAAAGCATTACTGAGAGAAGTTAATATATATATATATATATATATATATATATATATATATATATATATATATATATATATATATATATATATATTCTAATATAAATATAAATATTTGCTGTGGATGCAATGCTTTTGAACACTTTTCCTGTGGCATGCTGTGTTTTAATGTTTTAACTACAGCGAGGATTGCTTACCATGATAATAGCAGATTGTCTGAGAAAATATTTTCGCACAAATAATGCACAATAAGGCCTATCTGTTTCCATTAAAAATATAAATACTATTTGGCCTGTGGAAAAGATTGAGAAAAACTTTCTCTGAAATGTATTTTTTACTATTTGATTTATTTATTCAAAAACAAGGAAAGGAAATAGGCTACTAAATGATTTTTAGCAATTTAATGTGACGGCACATCCGTATCTCATAATTTCCTAATATCTTGTACCGTTAAACATGGTATCACGTGGACGAATATGCATATGCAAATGATATGCAGATGAGATATGCATAGTAAAACTAGGCGTTGTAAGCTCCATATATGTTTATTTCGGGGTGGAGACGCATGTCCGCACAATCTTCCATTGACTGGGATTTATAAATGGAATTTTGCGCAGGTTCTGGCATACGCACGGTTTTATAAGTCTGAATATTTTTTGGGAGCACGTACACTTTTAGTAAGGATCCTACGCACAGTTTTATAAATGAGACCCCTGATCATGAAAAGGTGAAAATACTTGCTTTCCAACCAGCACTTTTTCAGTAAATAGTTTTTAGCCTCAAAAGTATCAGTTTGTACAGCTTCATGAATAATAATTAGTCATGAACTAGTCATGCAATAGCTACTCTTACCAATGACTGAAGATGTTCTGATGCGCTTGTCACACGCCACACTCCCTCCAGGTAGTGTTGTGCATGTAGAGGAAGTGGTGTGACAGTGGCTAAACAGGTTCGTTTCCCACCCACTCTCGCTGCTCCTTCTTGACACCAATCCATACCCTGCGGTTTCTCCCTGGATATGGAACCACAAGGATGTCCGGTGAGGTTTTGACTGCTATGTGTTGGCCATTCCCAGGAAGCATGGGGTGAGATGGCACTGTGGGATGAAACACGTGGTGGCAGCAGGCCAGAAAGTGGTCCGGGCTGCAGGTCAGGCATGTCCTCGAACGCCAGCCCCAGGGCAGAGTGCAGTGCCAGGCGCCTCAGGTGGTGAAGGGGGGTTCCACACACCTCACAGCTGCTCTGGGATCCGAAGCCCAGAGGAGGCCATTCCAGAGTCTGGAGCTTGTCAAGGAGGAATGCTGCAAAGCTCGGGTCCTGCAAGGAAAGTCAGCAACATGACAAGTAATTACAGCACAGCTGCTGAATAAATCTTGGTTTTGTTCGTGCAGCGTTCTGGTTAAATTAAAAGACTGATTATATTTTCTTAGCTTGTGCATTAATATTCTCTATTCTCAAAGCTGGGCTTAATTTATAGTTGATTGGCTTGACAAATCATATGCAACACAGTATGATGCTGTAAAAGCTTTCAAGTAAGAACCAGTGGCAGCAACAAAGCCCACAAGTTGACATTTACTATAATAACAAGCATTTAACATCCTCTGAACTATGTAAATGAAATGTTTCATGAGGAAAAAACTAATTTTCAATTTTATTTTATTTTACACATATACAATACTGATATCATAACTAGAGATATAGAACAACAACAGCGACAATAAATATAAACAGCTCTCTTGTGATATAACTAAAACTGAAAAAAAAATAAAGCTAAATAGTCACACATATAAATAAAAAAACTAATAAAAACCTACAAAAGCTCATAACAAAATGACTAAAACTTAAATAATAATAAAAAAAAATATGAAAACTAAACTATGAACCAGCATTAGTTGGTTAAAAGTTCCCTAAATACTTTTAGTGGCCCCTATAAAAATATTTAGATGAGGATATATAAATTATGGTAAACTTTTGGTGAACTTTATTAAATAAATGTCACTTCTAACAGCTGCTCCTTTTAAAAACCATAAAATCAAAGCTCTCTCCATGCAATATTGTGTGTAGCTTGATTTAAGGATTGTAATAATAAGTTTATGTTGACAACACTCTTAAGTGCATATTTTGCGGGAGTGAAATGGAGGTCAGGGAACAAAGCCCCGACCTTAGCACAACAATATACCATGATTAAGTGCTTTTGTCTGGGATTGGAGGACTTCTACAGCAGGTTCATTCACTAAGGGGGGAAACCATTCGACATTGGCATGCCAGATGCCTGCAATCTGCTTCAGTCGGTATGCAGGCAACCGCGCCTGCCTATGGGCATTTGACTTTACATTTATTCGTTTAACAGAATTGGCTAACTTCTTTACAAGGAAGTCCTAAGCCTAGTCCAGAAAACGTCTCGGTTACGTGTAACCCTCATTCCCTGAAGGAGGTAACGGAGACGTAGTCGACGTGTCGACTGACTGGGATCACGCTTAAGGCTGATTTATACTTCTGCGTCGGACCTACGCCGGAGCCTCTACGCTATAGACTACGCGTTGGTTTTCATTTATACTTCTGCGTCGTTGTCCGCGTTGACGCGCAATTACACATGCAGAGGGAGCATGTGAAAGCCGGGGAGCGGTTCTAGCAGACCAATCACAGCGCTTGCGGTACGCGTAGAATTGACGCGTTGTTACATTTTTGGAGAGGTGCACGTCAGGGTACGCCGAAGGGTACGCGCGCTACACACAGCCTACGACGTAGCTACGGCGTGAGTTCGACGCAGAAGTATAAATTGGGCTTTAGAGAGCCTGTCATCTTCGAGTACTATTAACACTAGAAGTGCCAGAATTCCATAACTACTAGAACTGCCACAAGCGGTCATTTTGACCGTTAGATTGCAATCTCTATATCTTTAATGATAAATACCCAATTAAGAGATTAATGCATTTATTGTATTAGGATATCTTTCAAAAACAAAACACCAAACTGTACATTTAAAAAAGTTGAATTATACATTTATAAATAATAATATCAGTAACCCGTAATTATCGCATATTCACAACAGATAGGCTATTTCCATATAAATTCAACATAACTCAGAACAAGATAATAACAACTAAAAGTATCTTATTTAGATATTCTTTTGATAGTGAGAGAGACAATGTCACAGTTTATGAATTCACTGTCTCCTTTCTCGTCTTGTTGTGTGTGTGTGTGTGTGTGCGTGGTCGCTGATCATTGCAGCTGATCAGCACGCCCGCTCTGATCAACTTTTGCCCGCTCTGATCAACCCGCGCCGCGGGGGCGGAGTGTGTAATGCATTTCACGCACGCCAATTACATTGGCTCGTTTTAACACTAGAACGGCCACGGCGGTCGTTTTGACCGTTTTGAATTTTATATCTGCATTAACTTTGTTGAAAAAATAAATAAAATCCTGCTGGTACCTGACTTTTCCTAAAAGTGTCTGTATTTTCATTTTAAATGTTTTTAATATAAATTACACATAAGGCAAAAAAACAAATGAACATATTTACCTATTTCGGCCATAGACGGTCATATTGACCGCACTGAATTTCGCGGTATTCTTTTGTTACATTTCTCGCGGTTGACCTCGTGGTTGATCAGTTGATCAGTGCAACTGATCAGCATTCAACCTTTTTAGTGTCACTGTTGTCGCCTAGTCTTTGTCAGATCGTTGTGGATTTTTCCTGCGTGTTTGTTCCCTGCCTGTATCCGTTTTCCGTGTGTTATCCCGTGTTCAGCACTCCATGGTTCTACACGCAGCGTCCCTGTGCTGCCAAGGGCTTCATACCGGACATTTGCACACCTTAACTCTCCCAGCATCTGACCAGCTCTCAATAAACATATCTGTCATTTTGCAATTGAATCTTCTGATTATTTCCTAATAGACAAGGTCAACCGCGAGAAATGTAACAAAAGAATACCGCGAAATTCAGTGCGGTCAATATGACCGTCTATGGCCGAAATAGGTAAATATGTTCATTTGTTTTTTTGCCTTATGTGTAATTTATATTAAAAACATTTTAAATGAAAATACAGACACTTTTAGGAAAAGTCAGGTACCAGCAGGATTTTATTTATTTTTTCAACAAAGTTATTGCAGATGTAAAATTCAAAGCGGTCAAAATGACCGCCGTGGCCGTTCTAGTGTTAAAACGAGCCAATGTAATTGGCGTGCGTGAAATGCATTACACACTCCGCCCCCGCGGCGCGGGTATAAATACGGAAGTGGATGCACGCACTAGTTGTTTTTCGCTGAGGAGCCGAGCGTAACTCGGCTGTGGTCCAGCAATAGTGGCGAAGGGACTACGTCTCCATTCCCTCCTTCAGGGAACGAGGGTTACATACGTAACCGAGACGTTCCCTTTCAGTCGTGTCGACTGATTGGGATCCCAATTAAAACGTCATCTAGTGCTGCCACCTTCCAGTGCCTAGACAAAAGCCTCCAGATCCCCCCGCAATTAAGGCGGGGAAGGGACAGGGCTTAGGCCAGGGAAGTCACTGCTGTTCCTACAGGACCACTGGGAAAGCGTTCCCTGAACATGGAAGGAAGGGACACTGCGGAAGCCACATCCTGCCCGAAGGGAGGTAACATGTGGAGAATACACATATGAACTGGGCGGATGACCGGGCAGTACAACATATGGAATGTCACTGGGGTGGCTCCAGCCTAAGACGGGGGGAGACTCAACCGAACAGTGACAGCAGAGCAGACTCTGCCAAGGGAAGACACGGGCTCGCCGCAGGGAGCCGTACCATGGAAGAATACACATATGGGATCGCCGTAGGGATCACAGCATATGGACCCAGCCTAACACAGGTTCCACCAGTGCATACGAGTGATAGGCCTGGCTTCGGACGTTCCGCCATGTATGTCCGTTGCCGAAGGGTATGGAGGTACTCGACAGGGTTCGGCTAAAAAGGGGAACTCAACTGAAGCAACAATTGCACACGTATCCAGTCCATAGGAGGGGAATGGTGCAGCAAGCCGACACAACGAACCGGGCTTACAGTGAAACTGGCTTCATGTGAAGGGAGCCCACGGGAAGCAACGGTTCGACTAAGGTGTCGCCCAGCCCTCAACTCTAGAATATCTGTCAGCGAAGCACTCTGTGTCAACGCCTAAGCGGGAGCAACACTCATTTAAGAGGAGCTCACCACCTAAGTGGACATGTGCATCTCGGGAATTTCACCAAGATGAAGGCAGCCACTTTCAATTGGCCAACCTCGCTTTTCAATTGGCCAACCTCGCCTTCCCTCTCTGCTGATTTCCTTAACAGATAAGAGCTGGTCTGAGGTCCAACCTGACGATCAGGACGTGCTTCCCATACTTCTGCATATGATGTTTGTATCATATTGAGGGTGAAGGAACAGCCTACTCCAACCCAACTTATCTTAAGGGGGTGCTTGCAGAAGTGATGGTCACCACCACATATCCTTGTGATAGCGACCTGAACCTCCCCGTCCAGTTCTTTGAACGCGGGTGCCATCATGCCCCATCCCTGAAATGTATTCAGGGGAAGTCAGGAAGGCTGTCGAGGGAACTAGATCTGGTTGGGCCAAAAAGGGGCAACTATCAAGACCTGTTCCACTCCTGACTTAGCACAGTAGGTGCAAGCGACATGCACGCACAAGACAGGAGCACTGCTCAATACTAGATGTGATAATTCACTGAGCTTCAGGAGCATTTCTGCTCAACACCTGAGTGTGATGAACATCACTGAACTTGAGCAGCGCCAAGCGATAATGAATCGCATAGCCACTTTCTTAGAAGACTCACTGGGGAACGCATTTCTGCGGGGCCCCGGGGTCAGCTGAGAGCCAGTGTCTATCCAAGGGATGTCTGACATGCGAGGGAAGCTTAGTGCAACGGTCGCAATGTTGTCTTTTCAGACCAGTACCAGCTCGCTGAGCAGCGGTGGCTCAAAGCGAGGTGAACTGCCAACTTGAGGTAACGAATACCAATGCAGTCGGAGGTCGCCCAGGCCTCCGTTAAAGCATGCCTTTTGTACATGGCCCCTCAGTCGGTGTTAGTGGACCTGAAGGTCTGAACACGGGCTGAGAGTTTGGCGGCAGGCCGGGGTGATCTTTTATCACACAGGGCGTGCCGCTCTGCCACAGTCACCTTGGGACTCGATCATAAAACGAGTGCTGAAGCGGTCTTCATATGGTGGAAGCCAAGCGGCTGCGTCTGCCATATGCCCCAGGAGCCTCTGAAATTTTCAGTGGGACCCTTTCTCACTTCTAGCACTAGCCTAACACACTCTTCTTGAAGAGACGTGTTGGACCGAGTCCTTCTCCTGAACT